GAATGATGAAGTCAATGAATGTACAAATGTGCTTTACACAACTGATGTATGTATGGATTATGATAAGAGTTGTATGAGCCCCTAATAAAATGATTTTTTTAAAAAAAGAAAGGCCTTCCCTTATTTGTTACACTCTTTAGAGTGCAAGGTAGGACATTTAGAGTAAAGCGGCTTAATACATAAAGGAATAAACTTTTTCAGTTTCACCAATCTTTTCCTTCTTAATGAACTTAATAAAGATTCAATAAATACTTATTGAGCAAATGTGTGAGTACATAAATGAAAGCAAAGGTGTTATGTAGTACGTGATGTCCAGGTTCAATGGGTCAGACACCTTCTTCACTCAAGGTGATTTTTCGTCCTCAATGACATTATCCTAAGGCCACCCATGATTTGCTCCTCCTCTTTGTACACTCCATCTGACCTGTCTAAACCACTACTGTGGACAAGGACAACTCAGCCCTCATGATATTCCTAGACTCTAGGAAAGTCAAGAAATGTGATCAAAGATACCGAACAGAGAAAAATACGCTGACGTATCATCTAATTTAATTCTGGCCTGAAACACAGCTCAAGATCTAAATATTTATTACTAATGCCCCCTAGGTAAATCTGTAAGATATTAATTATGTATGCTCCCAAGTCCAAGACCAAAGAAGAAAACCATGAATTGTGAGTTCACTGAAATCATGCTTCCAACTTATTTCTAAAAGCACTCACCTGTAGACGTTTTATATTGTCAACTGCAAGAACCATCACTTCACTCTCCTGAAACACAACATCTACTTCTTGCTTTAACACAACAGCAGAGTTCTTACATACTTTGTTTGTCTCCCAGAGCTGTTTAAGAGATAAGGAAATTAAAATAAGGTAATTATATGCTATCAAATAATTCTGTCAAGATAAATCTTGTCTTAAAGCAATATACAAAGCAAGCTTCACAATCAAAATGCTGGAAATTTTTCAATTATTAAATCGGAATTCAATTCAATAAATATTAAAACATTCTTGAGTAAGAAGTATTAAGAGTGATGGCTTCTGGAGTCAAACAAACATCTCAATAGCTATAATCCTAGTGCTAGCTAATGCTGGGACTTTGAGGACATTACTTACACGGATGCTACTGAAAGGTAGGGGCCTGCTACCGATTCTCAAACAATAACGAGCCTCTGCCGAAATGTAAATCAACTACACTCTACATGTCCGCGTGTTTGGTGATGTGACTTTCTTGATGAAGGAAACAGTCCTGTTTGACACAGCTCACTGAGAACAGCACAGTCCGCAGCACTGAGCTAATCTTCCTGAGCCTACTTCCTCAGCTCTGAAAAGGATTGTAATAATTAGTATGTTAACACACAAGTAACAATTTACACCAGTTTGCCATACAATGAGTACCAAACCTATTTTAGCCAAAATGTGTATAAGACACTCCATTTGATGCCACAGGGACCAGCCAGGGTTCCTGCCTTCAATTAGTTGACAATCTAAGACTTCAATGTGAGCAAGTCAGATGAGCTGTGGAGCAGTGGAGCCAAGGAGTAAATCAACAGGCTATTAAATTCAAGGCAGAATTTTATGAGCAATTTAACAAAATAAGAGTTATAAGTCATTAAAAGAGAGACACTGAGACATTACCCCAAATGGCTATTAGGAAAGGCTTCACAGAAGGACTGCTGGGCTTTGCAGGATTGTTAGAATTTCAAGAGAGAGAGAGATAAGGAAGTATTCAGAACACAAGAAGCCACATAAGCAAAGAACAGAAAGGAACTATTGGGTGTTTGGGAGAATGTGAGCCGTCTAGTATAGACTGCCTGTAGGTAGGAACCTGGAAAGGAGTCTGGGATGGACAGAGGCCTTATGTGGTGAAGTGGAATTTCATAAGATGGCTCTTCTATCCATGTTTCCCTGACTCCCGCCAAATGATTCGGGGGGATTATGCAAACAGAGCGTGTGTAACACCAATGGTCACTTTGGGTTACCAGTCTCGTGTAGGAGAGAGCCATCTCAGAGCAGGAGCAGAGAGAATGCCCAGGACTACCAAGATGAACCACCGGAGGAGTAGGTTTGAAATTCCTGTTTCATGTGGCAGAGGTCATGTCATAACCAGACCTGAGGCCAAGGCAAGGAGACCATGAGACAGGGCAGGTGGCCGCATTGAGACTATGAGGCAGAGAAGGAGGCAAGTGATATGGCCCCCTGACGAGGCAGAAGCTGAGGAACCACGTGACTGAGAGCCTGAGGACTACTGAGAAAGACTGGGCTGCTGGCTGAGGAGACGGGCTGCACAACAACCTTATCACTTTCAAAGCACTCTCCATTACACTTAATACATGTGTCAAATCTGATTCCATTCTTGGAAACATGTTTCAAACTCATCTGTCTGAATGGCTGACAGCACCTCCCTCGTTTTTTTCTTCACCTTTACTACATTATCAAACCGCTGTCTTTTCATGTCCCTCTTCATTCACAGGAACAAAAAAGAAGTCGCACGGAGCAAGGTCAGGTAAGTAAGGTGTGGGGGGCAAGAGAGGCATGCTGTTTTTAGCAAAAACTGGTGCACTGAGATGACTGCATGAGCAGGTACATTGTCATGGTGGCAAAACCAGTCCCCCATCTGCCACAAATCAGGCCTTTTTAAAAAAATATTTTTATTGGGGGCGTGTACAACTCTTATCACACAATCCATACATACATCCATGATTCAAGCACATTTGTACATTTGTTGCCCTCATCATTCTCAAAACATTTAAATCATGCCTTTTTTGTCACACACTATTACACAATCTTTTCAAAACCTCTAAATGGCCAAGCTTGATTAAGAGTCTGACCTGGTGGAATGAACTCTAAATGCACTATCCCCCTTACATTAAAAAAAATAATAATAAGCATTGGTTTTGCGGGGTACTCCCTCATATATTTCCTTTTGTAAGCAACGGAGAGCCATTTTCTGTTTCTGAGCAAAAAAGCACAATTTTGTTGCATTTGAAGACAGAATCTTACGAAGGAAAAACTCATGGCAGAGACTAACACAACAACAAAGGCAACAGGGATTCATGAGGCCTGAACCTGGGCAGCAAGGTAAGGATAAAAGATAAGTAAGACAAAGACAGGATCTATTTGAACTGGCAAGTAACTGGATATGAGAATACACAGAAGAAACAGTAAAAAATTACCCAGAAGTGTCAAATATAACATCTTTAAATTAACCAGGCTGCCTTTTAATCATTGATCTTCTCCAGCACCAGGCTTATGGTGAGATTCAAGACAGGTATTGAAAAAATGGAATCATTATATGCCACATCACAGCACTTTTCCAGATGCACATTGATTTCTTCATTTGTAGGAGATTTAACGCACTAGCAGAAAATGGCAAAAAATGGAAACCTCAGCATTTCTCACCCTGATTGTCTGGTCATCAGAAGATGTCAAAAACGAAGATCCATCAGGAGAAAACATCACAGAATGAACCCAACTTAAATGTCCTCTGCAGTCAGCTACTTTTAAACTCGAGTCTATGTTCCACAACTGCAGAATAAACACAGCACATAAGAAATCACATTCATATGCATTTTGAATCTAGCAAGAATAATAAAAGTAACAAGAATGACGTAGCAATACATGCATACCTCGGGAATATTGCAGGTTCAGTTCCACACCACTGCAATTGTACAGAGACTATAGCAATAAAGCAAGTCACATACATTTTTTGTTTTCTAGTGCATATAAGTTATTTTTCCACTATTACTATAGTCTATTAAGTGTACAATAGCACCATAAAAAACGTTTGAAGTACTGTGAAAGTTACCGATATGTGAGAGACAAATTGAGCACACGCTGTTGGAAAAAATGGCCCCAATAGACTTTCTCAGTGTAGAGTTACCACAAACTTTCCATCGGTAACTAAGGCAGTATCTGCAAGTGCAGTAAAACAAGGTATACCTGTTCCATTTCTAGGAATCTAGCCCCCAAAAAGACAGTAGGAAAAATGAAGACTATTTATTGTATAATATTTTAATAATCATAACAAGAAACCCAAATGACCACAACTGTGTGGTAACATGATGAAATAGTATGCAGTCATACAAAGGAGGAAACTCACAGATGTGTCATTGGTTTGGCTTCTCTGCCTAACACAACCTCTGAGCAGCAAAGGGCTTACAGCAGCCACTAGGAGCAAGCAGAAAGGCATGGAAGGAATAGTTCGTTCTCAAACCCTACAGAATTAACACTTGATTTGGATTCCAAGCCCCTTGAAGTATAAGAAAAAAATATCTGTTCTTTAAAAGAAAAAAGAAAAAGTGTGAAAAACTTTATACATTTGGAATAACTATTCTCTTCAATATATTAACAGGGAAAAGAAAGGAACGTGCAGGAGAGTACATTTTATATAAGGAGTCCTGGTGGCACAGGGGGCTGTGCATTGGGCTGCTAACCACAAGGGCAGCAGTCTGAAATAACCAGCCACTGCACAGGAGAAAGAGGACAGCTGTTCCCATGAAGATTACAGAGGTGGACCCCTCGGGGCCATTCTACTGTAGTCCTCTCGGTTCTCTATGAGTCAGCATTAGCCGGATGTTAGAGAAGACCTTTTATAGAAGATGGAAATACAAATAGGTGATTATATCGATGGTTACAGCTATAGATCTATAGATCCCTATCGATATCTAAATATGTATCAGCTTATACATGCAAAAACAAAGACTGGAAGATTAAACGTATGAGATAGGAAGCCAAAAGATTTCTTCAAAGACAGGGGATAGGGTTAAAGTGAGACTACTCTAAATACAAGGGGCTTCAAAAAATTCATGGAGAAATTCCATTATCTTTCAATTCATTTTTCCACTAACTTTTGGAAGCTCCTTCATAAAACTTATTATAACCATAACTCCAGAATCATGTAAATGTTTGGCTCTCATAAAAGATCAACCTAAAAAATAATAGGGTAAACACTGTAGCTTCTATATTCAGACTAGTTTTCACTATCATCTAATCTTTACCTCAAGTGATTGAAAATCCCTACAATAAGTTAAGGCACTAATTGGAGTATGTACATATCTATTATTCATGGTTATTATAAACTGACAAAGTCTGCCACAGCCAAGCTGTATTTGTCCTGCATCCTGTTGCAATTTATTCACATTTATTCTGACCTAATGAAGTACCATATGTGCCCAAGTTCCTCTCGTTACACTTTGAGTTACAGGCCTACTTTTTGAATTCAGAACGAGATGAACAAAACAAGTACTTTTTCACCCGATGATTTTCATTCAATGAGTTCTATGGTTACACAAGAATCACATGACATTTCATCTGCTTGATCTCGAGAGTCCAAACTGGGGCATACAGAGCTAAAAGCCAGATTTGAAAAGGTTGCACAACTTGAAAATCTTTCCCTCTCTTCCTCCTTACTCTTAACCCCCTCCCAAATCTCTTCTTTGTCAGTCAGAGTCTCCAAAACAGTCTCTACATGGTGACGCAAACAGTTAACACACTCAGCTGCTATCAGAAAGGCTGGAGGTTCAAGACCACTCAGAAGTGGTTACAAAGAAGGGCCTAGATACCTCTCTTCTTCTATGGAGTCATCCTGACGCACATGGAGTCCCCTTGAGCTGGGAATGCTCAACACTGAGTGGCCTGGGAGTCTCCATGTGGTAGATAATGAACTGTAGTGACTTAAAGGGCCATGCTTTGGGCTGCTAATAGGAAGGCAGTGAGTTTTGTTTGTTTGTTTGTTTGTTTGTTTTTGAGTGGACTAAATAGATGAGCACTTTAATACTGTCAAAAAGGTTGGTTAACTCAGTGCAGTACAGCACCGATGAAACACACAGCTTTCTTCTAGTTCTTTGGTGCTTCCTTCACCCCACTATCATGACCTCAATTCTACCTTACAAAT